ATTACAATATATGGGAGTTATTCTATCAATGGTTAGAGAATAAATATGAAAGCAATGTATTATAAAGGCAAATAAATTAAGGAGAGAAATGTTATAATAGTATGTATGTAAAATATTAGTAGTAATGTAAGAATAGACGCAAATAACAAATATGGTGGTAAATTTTAATTTAAAAATTATATATATACAATGTATATATAAAAAGAAAAGACATTGGAGCAGGTAAAATCAATCACCAGAACCCTTGGACGAGCTGACAATTACCTTATCAATTGGTGGGTTGGAGCCTTGGAGAATGAAAACTGGGACAATATAGATATGATTCCAGACATTATTCCCGTAATCCAGTAGTCTCCAGGCTTGTAGTAATGGAACCACTCCTTTTCTTCTATTATCACCTTAAATGGACATTTCATCAGTGTACTGGCACAGGGAATTTGAGACAGAAACTGAAGCAGAAAAAGCTGTATTTGCAGCAGCAGCAACATTTGACATACAGTATACTGCAGGAGATCCTTCCTAGAGTTGTTTCTTCAGCACAGAGCTAAATCTCAGAGATCACAAAAAGACCACAACTACAGTGAAGAAGGTCCAGTTTGCCCCCAGATTTGGAAGAGCTATCTGCAATTTCAGACTGCTACAGGATTTGCCCAGCTTTACCCCAAACTCTGATCTCATCACAGGAGGCTGTTACAAATCAGATTATCACAAGATGTCTATCCCATTTGTTGTCACATTGATTGGCCACTAATTGTGGTGGTGGAAATCCCATGAACCTTGTTCAAAGGAGAATAAATAATCATGATTTTAATAATTAGAAGGGGAATTGGGAACGAGCCTTGGCCATAAAAGTGTGCCGTTAGAGAAAAGAGTTTTCTTTGACTCAGGAGAATAATCCTAATTTGAGAGTTGAGAAAGGAACAATTCAGGGAAGTTTGATTGTTTTTAGTCTCCAAACTTATTCTTGATATTGTAAGGATTTAAATGTGGAAAAACAGTTCAACACTCTTGAAGTAGGCATTGGGCCATTATAATTCCTTCTTATTTTTTCTGGTGTGGATGAGGTCATCTTCTTCAATGAAGGTTTGGTACTCCAGAATCGTTAACTCCAGATTATGACATATTGAACAACCTATTGTTGTTGATGATGAGCCACGGTGATTCAGTGGTTAAGTGCAGTACTGCAGGCTACTTCTGCTGATCACTGGCTGCCAGCAGTTTGGCAGATTGAATCTCACCAGGCTCAAGGTTGACTCAGACTTCCATTCTTTCCAGTTCGGTAAAATGTGGACCCAGATTGTTGAGGGCAAATATGCTGACTCTGTAAACTGCTTAGAGAGGGCTGTAAAGCACTATGAAGCAGTATATAAGTCTATTGCTATTGGAGGCCCCTGTTAAATGTCTTGTATCTTTCAAAATATAGAAGAGAGTATCAGTCTTCATGGTTACAAAGAAGATCTCGTCCAAATTCCCTGGGGCATTAATATGAAACAATGGCCCATTACTGACTTCTTCATGATAGCAATAGCAATAGCAGACTTATATAACACTTCACAGTGGTTTTACAGCCCTGTCTAAGCAGTTTACAGAGTCAGCCTATTGCCCGCAACAATCTGGGTCCTCATTTGACCGACCTCGGAAGGACGGAAGGCTGAGTCAACCTTGAACCGGTGAGAATCAAACTGCCAAATTGCGGGTAGCCAGAAGGCAGCAGAATAGCCTGCAATACTGCATTCTGACCACTGTGCTTTCTCCTCCTCCTCATGTGGTGACATTTGCTGTCTCTTACATAAGGTATCTAGTAGAGAACCAAGAGATGATGCTATATGAGTACATTTCCACAATGGCTGAAGGTGAAGGGCTAAATAAAAGTTGAGGACCTGAGCCCAGGGTCTTTGCTATATGGCAGTGGTGGTGAACCTTTTACTCATCGAGTGACAAAACATGAAAAAACATGTTTAATGAACAGAATAGAAGAGAATAGAATAGAGTAGAGTAGAGTAGAGTAGAGTAGAGTAGAGTAGAGTAGAGTTGAGTAGAGTTGAGTAGAATAGAATAGAATAGAATAGAATAGAATAGAATAGAATAGAATAGAATAGAATAGAATAGAATAGAATAGAAGAGTTGGAAGGGACCTTGGAAGTCTTCTAGTCCAACTCTCTGCTTAGGCAGGTAACCGTATACCATTTTATTCTTGTTGAGTTCATTCTTGTTGAGTGCTGGGTTCTGGACACTTCGATTTGGTAAACAATTGGAGAGAGGAAATGTTTCTCATTTTTGCAGATAACCCAAAGTGGCTAGATAGATTTGACACTACAATGACAGAAATCACAGACCATTACCAAGACAACGTCAGATAAAAGTAGTACTGAATTATATGATATAGCTTTCCTAATCTGTAATACACTGAAGGGCTGACTGACAAAAAGACAAAGACAAAGAAAAGACACATGCACAAAAACAAATTTATATATTTATAGGTAAAGGTTTAGGTGGGTATAGGTAAAGATTTCCCCTATCACTCATGACCAACCCAAGGGGCGGTGCTCATCTTTGATTCACAAAATGAAGAGCCTTTATCTGAAGTTGCTTCCACGGTCATTTGGCTGGCATGACTATGCACTGAAGATGCACAAAACATTGTTACTTTCCTACTGAAGTGGTACCTATTTATTTACTTGCATTAACATGCTTTTGAATAGTTAGGTTGGCAGGACACACACAGAGATACACAGACACTGTATGTGTATGTACACTGTATATACACTGTACACTGTATGTAGAAATGGATATGGATATGGATAAAAAAAGGAACCAATTTTAATACTCATAAGCACATCTTCATTGTCACAGCATGTCTACATGATTTCTCCCCCAAATCATTCAGAGTTGTACATATTTTTCTTTTGATTGAAGACTGTCAAAAAGAATAATTTGTCTCATTAATTTATTCAAAGGGATGGAGAAAAAAATTAAAGTTGCTCCAATGTTCATATTGATATTTTATCTATTCTTAATATGTAAAATATTATCTGTCTCTCTATTTTTCTCTTTCTTGATGTCTCCCATCCATGTCTGTCTGTCTGTCTGTCTGTCTGTCTGTCTGTCTATCTATCTATCTATCTATCTATCTATCTCATTTATCTAAGTATGAATGATTTTACATTATCAAGCCAGAAGAGATCAATCAAATATATACAGTATTTGAAATTAACTATTTTTTAAAACAAAGTCAGAACATCACCCCAGAAAATAAAATATAACACCAGCACACCAACCTATATAGTAACAAAAACAAATGTCATCATTAGCCGTAGTTTTTAATTTAATCTAAAACCATATCAGAACATCTCTGGTCACAGTTTATCTGGCCATTTTTCAGAAATTTTATTTATGTCATAATCAGATTAGAACAATCGAAGGATATGATTATTTCAGATATTTTGAGTTGTTTTAGCAACTTTACTACTCAATTATTATAATTCAAAATTCACATGGAATGAAGAAAGATAAGCAACAACAGATAAAACATTATTTCAAAGTATGTGATTTTATGCTGGATGTAAACTGTAGAAAAATAAACACCAACTCAAGGAGACTTAATGATTTTTTATCATCAGATGTTCTTTGGTGTTCATGTCAGGTCTCAGGATAATAATGTAGCATTTGGGGATAAAGATGCAGCCCAGTAAACCCAGGCCAGAGGCCAGGATGGAGAAGATCTGCACGGCTACCATGTATTTCCCCTTGGTGCTCAGATAAGTGGGAACAAAGGAGATCCAAACGCTACAAAAAACCAACATGCTGAAGGTGATCAGTTTGGCTTCATTAAAAGCCCCTGGAAGGTTTCGAGCCAGAAAAGCCACCAAGAAACAGATGGCAGCCAAAAGACCCATGTAGCCAAGAGCAGAGTAGAACATGGTGACAGAACCTTCATTGCACTGCAGCAGGATGTGTTCTGGTTGGGAATGAAAGTCAGAATCTGGGAATGGGGGAAAGACTCCCAGCCACATCATACAGAGGCCTACTTGAATACCAGAGCAGGATAAAACAATAGAGTTGGCCAGACTCTTCCCCAGCCATTTCCTCATGCTGCTGCCTGGCTTTGTGGCCAGAAAGGCTACCACCACCATGACAGTCTTGGCCAGCAAGGAAGACACAGCAATTGAGAAAACAACACTGAAAATGGTTTGTCGAAGGAGACAGGTCATTTTCACGGGGCGACCAATGAATAGAAGGGAGGTCAAGAAAGAAAGCAGGAGTGAAACCAGGAGGATGTAGGTGAGTTCACAGTTGTTGGCTTTGACTATGGGAGTGTCTCGGTATTTCATGAAGATTCCCAGAATAAAGGCAGTGGTTAGGGACAAAGCGATGGCAAAGAAAGCCAGGATGAGTCCCAACAATTCTTCATAGGATAAGAAGCTTATATTTTTGGGGACACACTGATCTCGCTTCTTATTGGAATACTGGTCAGCTGGACACTTTTCACAATGGGCTGCATCTGAGAAAAAAAGGGTTAGCATGAATCTGTTTCTGTAGTTGTAGGACCATAAAAACCACATCAGAAATCAATTACTTCATTTTCAAGGAATAATATAATATTTCTCCCCAGGGATATCCATACAATAATCCATGACATTAGTTAACACTCTTTTTAAAGGCTGAAGATGAATGTGATGATCAGCTCTCAAAATTTGTCCTCTTTCCCAAAACAAAGCAAAAAAGTAACAACTCAGTAGAAATCAGCAACCTTTCATTATTTATTTTAATGCTCACATCATCATGTGGATGCGATAGTGTCAATTCTTTGATGTTTGTGGATGCCTTCAAGAAATTAATGTTTTTCTTACTTATTTATCAAACACTCCACCAAAAAACAAGATAGTATATTGATTTTATCCTGATTTTTTTTTTGGATCCACCTACTGTACCTTCTTGCCCAGAGAATGTTCCTTCCATACACAGAGAACAGTCGTAGCAGCAAACTGGGGCTCCCTCTCTCACAAGCTTGGCATAACCTGGGGAGCAACTTTCTGTACATCTTGAATAAGGCACCATCTAAACATAAACAGAAACATTAGTCAGGGTAATATATGAATTAAAAGGATTTACTGAAATCAAGTGGCTTCCAGAAGCTCAGGAGCACATTGAGCAAAATCAGTCCAGAAGTAGTAGCATGAACTTTAATTGCGTTTTATACACTGAATGTAGTTAATAACGTGAGGCATGGAGCAGCAAAGGAGTTTCAGTTTCAGTTTCAGAGATCAGCACAGCATGCAGCTTTAGAACAATTGACCTACTGTAAGCCATGCAGAGGCTCCTTCCTTGTTGCTCACACAGCAAATACTGTTTCAATTTCCAAACAGCCCTCAACTCTCTCACACACCAACAGGACACTATCCAGATGAATACGGATGGATGCTGGTAGCCAGAGGCAGATTTTTTTTTCTTATTTCCTCCCCCAAAATTAACGTGCATTTTATACTCCAAAAAATATGGTATGTATTTTTTCTCCTTCTTTGGTTTCTCAGGAAACCTCCAATATCTAGCTTTCTCTAGAGTCCCTATCTTTCTCTCCTACAACTGATCATTGTATCATCATATGTAAATGAGTTTTTTAGCTGCCCTCATTTCCTTCACCACATTCTTAGTGATATCTTTTTCTTATGCAATTCAGTGGACTAAATCCTTCATATTCTGGATTTTTCTCCAAAAGATGCTTTTTCAAAAGACAACTGATCTTTGTTTTCCCTTGAAGATGTTCCACTTCTCATTCCAGAAGCTTCTTCAGTTCTGACTGAATGGTGGAGTATGGAAGGATTTAAATTCCTTGCAGCCATCTGGTCGTTAGCAGTCTTTCTGAAAGTTGTTGAGGACACTTGGAATTTATCTGTGCCCTCAGGGTCACCTGAATAGTGCAAATGGGTGTGGAATCTTCCTGCAATTGCTGAATCTATATCCTGTTTACAACACAGTCTTTTCAACAGTTCCAAGTCTTTCCATCCTCCACCATTCAGTCAGAACTGAAGAAGCTTCTTGGATGAGAAGTGAAACATCTTCAAGGGAAAACAAAGTCCAGGTGCCTTTTGAAAAAGCACCTTTGGCACAATCATGACCCGAATGACTGAGAATCTCCATAGACATTCTGGATTTTCTCTTACTGAAAACAAGATAATTTGATGTACTATAAATTATGGCAACATATCCCAGTTTAATAATGTAGATTGCAAATCCTGCAATACAATACAGCAGGTTCCAGTGTGTGGTAGATTATTGTAAAACCTCTAAAGTAAAATGATATAAATTAATGAGGCTTTAAGTTCTCTTATATGGGAGTTATCTCAATTGGCCTCAATAAGAATTATTTCTGAGCAGATGGAGATAAATAGCAAAATCCAAGCAGCCTCAATTACTTTGTTAAATAAAGTTGGCCATTGGACGGCACTTTGATTAACAGAAATCTTGACTTCTGAGGAGGCTTGTCTTTCTACATTCCCAATTTTCACCCCTGCAACTGATTTGTTCAAAACGGATGTCCACTGCATGATATCAAAGTCACCAACAGGAACTCCATTTTCATCAAAAAAAATCCCATCTCTGGAAATATTGTGATGTTGGAAATTTCTCAGGAACCTATGAAGCTGCAGAAACATAGAAAAAAAACCATTACAGTTTGAGCCTTTATTCAATTTCTTTTTCTTGTTATTATTCTGGATTAGACGTACTCTTAATATTTCAACCTCTTCAAATCATCACTGCAGTCTGAAACAGATTGATTCAACATTTTATGGGAAGCTTCTTTCATTCATACTCCAGGAATTTACAGCTCTTTTTCAAATACCATATATTTCGGAGTATAAGATGCACATTTTCATAAAATGAAAATGTCTATGTGTCTTATAGACCAAATATTGCTGAAGCCTCAACCACCTGGCTATTTTTGGTCTCCACACACCCCATTTTCAGCCTTTATTCAGCGTTTTTGCGGCCTATTTTGGCCCATTTTGGACCTTTCTTCAGGCTCTTTTTGAGGCTTCTTTCGGCCTGTTTTAAAGGTTTTTTGGGGGGATGAAAAAAGCCTCAAAAATGGGACAAAAAAAGCCCCCAAAACAGGCTGGAAAAAGGCTAGAAAAGGGCCAAAAAAAGGGCCAAAAAAAAAAAAAAAAAAAGGACCGCACAGAGGCCAAAAACTTTTTTTTCCCTTTTCTAAATTAATGTGCGTCTTATAGTCCAAAAAATATGGTATTTATCTCACATTCTTGAAAACATAATATAGATAACATCACCAACAGGTGGCTTTGTAACTGTGTGACAAATTATATTCAACATGTAGTCCTCTGGGGACCCTCATCCACATGGAGAGAAAGAAGTATTGGGGTACCCCACGCTTCCGTTTTAGGCCCAGCACTCGTCAACATCTTCAAACAAGATCTAGGTGAGGGAATTGAAGGGGAATTGATCAAATTTGAAGATGACACTAAGCTGACAGCTTGTCTTTTGCCCCCAAAAGACAAGTTCAAAATCCAAAAAGATCTTGACAAATTGAACATGGGCCCCTAACTAACCAAATGAAATTCAACATAGATAAAAGTAAGGTTTTACACTTAGGCAGGGAAAACCAACAGTATAGGTACAGACTATTTGAAACTTGGCTTATTGCCAGTAACTGTGAGAAGGATCTTGGAGTCCTAGTGGACAATTACTTAAATATGAGCCAACAACGTGTGGCAGCAGACAAAAATGCCAATGCAATCCTAGGCTGTGTTAATAAAGGGATAGAATTAAGATCACATGAAGTTCTAATATCACTTTACAAAGCCTTAGTAAGACCACATTTAGAATACTGCATCCAGTTCTAGTCAACACTATGTACAAAAGATATTGAAACTCTGGAAAGGCTGTAGAGATGAGCAACAAAAATGATTAGGGGGCTGGAGGCTAAAACTTAAAAAGGACAGTTACTGGAATTTGGTATGTCTAGTCCAGTGGTGTATTGCCCCCAGTTCGCACTAGTTCTATAGAACCGGTAGTAAAATTGGCAGGAGGCTCCGCCCACCAACCCCAACATCATCAAAACGCTTCTGTGCATGCATGGACCTACGCTACAGTTCAATCTCGTTACAGAAGAGATAGAGATAATTATGGGATATATGTGATGGAACAGAGTTTTGATAAAATATTATTGGGAGAGGACCATAAATACATAACCAAAATGTATGCACAATTGCTTGAGCGAATGATAGGAGAGGAGGTTGTAAAAGACACTATGATTGCCTGGGGGAGGAATTTTGGGTATTCGATTCTTTTAGAAAAATTGCAACAAATGTGGGGCGAAAATATTAAAATGACTATGGCAACGTCTTTCAAGGAAAATGCATGTAAAATGTTGAAATAGGTGGCACCTCCCACCAGCAAGAATTGCTAAAATGTTTCCGGGTGCATCAGAGTTATGTTGGAAATGTGGGAAAACCAGAGATACGTATTTCCATCAATGGTGGACTTCTATAATGGCAAAGAAGTATTGGAGAAGGATTAAGAATTGGATTAAGGAAATTACTAATGTGGACCTCCAATGGAAACCTGAGATATATTTACTAGGTATTCGCCCAGAGGGGCTGAGTAAGAAAAAAATGTTATCTCACTCTACATATTTTAGTCGCAGCCAGAATAGTGTTTGCCCAACAGTGGAAAGAAAAAGAGATACCGGCTAGTGCCCAAATGATAAATAAAGTATTAGAGTGCACTGAGGCGGACAGAATGATGTACATGTTGAAAGAAAAAGAGGATTCTGAATTTTTTCAAAGTTGGGACAGTTGGTATCAGTGGTTGAATAAAAGGATTGAGATGAAATGAGGGCCTAAGTCAATATGAGGAGAGATATACTTATCTAGATTGAAAGATAATTGTATGAAAACCATATTTGGGGATTACTTACTCCATTCTGTGTTGTGGGCATAATTACTTATTAATGAGGGCAGGAATATTATCTGCCGGGATAGACGTGTTTGTATGTTTAGTATTATGAATGGGGGAGGAAGGGAGGGGAATGTATGGTTTTTGTTTTTATGTATAATCAATGTTTTTGTCTTATGTTGATTTTAACTTGGAAAAAATAATAAAATTCATTTTTTTTAAAAAAAGAAGAAGCTTCTGTGTATGTGTAGAAGAGCGCACTCGAGTGAGTGAGGTAAGTGCATGCGCGCGGCCCCACTGCGAACCGGTAGTAAAGGTAAGTAGAACCCACCCCTGGTCTAGTCTAAGGAAATGAAGGATTGGGGAGAAATGATACCACTTTTCTAATATTTGAGGGGCTCAAATATTAACATCTTTGATATTAATGAAGGGGTCAAAATATTTCCCAAAGCACCAATACGCAAGACAAGAAACAATGGTTGGAAACTAACGAATAAGAGAAGCAACCTAGAACTAAAGAGAAATTTCCTAACGGTGAGAGCAATCGACCAATGGAATAGTTTGCCTTCAGAAGTTGTGAGTGCTCCATCATCGGAGGCTTTCAAAAAGAGACGTGGGCAACCATATGTCGGAAATGGCATAGGGTCTCCTGCTTGATTGGTGGGTTGAACTAGAAAAGCTTCTGAGTTCCCTTCAAACTCTTACTATTCTATATTTTATGTTCTATATTTTCTTGCTTCACTATCACAGCCCATCTGAGGCAAGATTATTTGCAGATAAGGGAAAGCTTGTAATGGAAGAAGATGGAAAATACAATTTTGCCATCAGTCCTGGTCAAGAGGAAATTAGAGGAGTTTAACTTTGGGCTAGGAATGTGACAAAAGTTGCGTAGTGATGTTATCTCTTTCAAAGAATAGCTATGGAAGCATATCCATTATTTCAGGAGATGTGTGGATGAACCTTTTGTTGACCCCAGAAGATCCTTTGATTTATACCTTGTTGCTATGTTAGAAACTTTTAGCCAACAAAATTCAGTCTTAATCCAGAACAAAAAATCCATCTGAACTCCTTAGTTGGAGATCACTTTGTGATCACAATAAAAGGTTGAGGATTGCTTGAATATTCTGATGCTTGTTTAGTTTTGAAAATTACGCTGTCACCATAGAGCTATTTCTGTCACCAAAGCATCCCAAAGTAGCACAGGTTGTTTAACTTTGGAAGGTTTTTCTCTATCATCTCTCTCTAACTCACCGTCAGGGTTCCAAGTAATACGGCCATAGCAGACTCTGAGGCAAGCAGGTTCCTCAAACATCAGTTTTATTGGACATATCATATAGGCATAGGATGGTGAAAACTGACTCTAAATCTTCACTAAAATGTAGATAGAAAGGGAATATTTTTCAATATAATAGTGGGAAAATTAAAAATTAGAAAGGGGACGGAAACTAGAGAGAGGGGAATTAATGGAATAGACATCTTTATATAATAAGTTGAAGTAATAATAAGAGGGGAAATCAGAATGTGAACGATGGTACTATTAAGAATGTTTGAATGATATGGTGATTGGCATAAAAATAACATATTGAAATATTGAATAATTAAATAATGGAAGATTATAATTTAACATAAATATATGTATTACTCTTAGAACCATATAAGCCTGTTAAAAGTAACAAATATGATTATTAATATTTTATTTGTAGTAAAAGGAATGACACTCAGAATATGGTGATTGGCATAAAAACAACATATAGAAATATGGAATAGCTAATAATGTGAAATTATAATTCAACAAAAATATGTGTACTATTGCCAGAAGTATATATGCTTGTCAACTGTAGTAAATATGATGAATATTATTTGATTTGTACCAAAATGTAAGTCACTCAGGTTCCACACTGTTCACACATTGATATGTTTCTAAAAAATTAAAAAATAAAAAACTTGAAAAAAGGAAAAAACATTTAGAGACTGTTTAATGTCAGGGTTCCAAGTAATACGCCCATAGCAAACAGGACTCTGAGGCAAGCAGTTTCCTCAAATATCAGTTTTATTAGACATACTGTATCATATAGGCATAGGCTGGTGAAAGCTGACTCTAAATGTTCCCACAGTTTTCACCTAATTAAAAGTAAAAGTTTTCCTCCTCTTTCCAATCAATCAGTCACATGGTCCAATCAAGGTGTCATCCGGTTGCCTGGTGACTTCACTCATCCTCCCTCTGGCCATCGGTGGGAATGTCCTTGGTTCCCAGGAGAAAGTATTTTGTTTTGGCTACAAAACCCCAGATATCTCTATTTCCCCCTCCATATCCCTCAGCTCCAGTGTGGCAACACCGAAGCATTAAAATGGCCTCGGTCAGGTCAGCTTGAGGATTGACACTCACTCTCAAATACCACAAACTGGGCAACTGCTCTTTGGAATATCTCACCCCTTTCTACATCTAAGTTAACATTGAGGAATTGGAATGGGAGAATCCGTGGAACGTCAAGGGAGAAGACTTACCTGCCATGGCTGTACAATCTGCGGTGGTTGATGGTCTCCAACTTGCATTCTCCTCTTACTCCGTTGGGAGGAAGAGGCAGCACTGAGGACCCAGGCCACAATTTGAATTATTTGGAAAATACTGGAGGAATCCTGAGACAGGATTCTTGCAATCACATCATGGGGTGGGAATTCCCAATTCTCTTTTTCTCTGCATTTTTTCCAAACTTTCTTAGATAACACAGGACTTGAATAAGAACATTGGAACGCTTCCTTTCCATACGATAAGACCATGGATGCATAAGAGTTAATGTCATAATACTGAGTCCTTCTCTTTGTCTGGAGGAGGAAGGAAAACAAAGCATATTTATTTTTGAGATCAACCCAGAGGTCAAAAATACCTACACCTGAAGCTGTCAAAGTTGTTGCAATCCACACCCTTCCCACAATGGATTTATCCATCGTTTGTATTATTACTGCTAAGATTCCCGAGGCCTGAAAATCCAGTTGGCATACTATAATTTTTATTTGACTCTTGATTAGAGAAAGGAACGTTTTCCTTTTTTCTTGTATGAGAGTTTCTCCAGCACTTTTCTGCATATTTCCTTCTGGGACGGTTCCTGAGAGGACAATGCAAATCCCATTTTTTAGAGCTAGAACTTCCAAGCGTCTTTTGAATTTTTCTCCTCTTTCATTGTCCCGAGAAAGGACACCGATCCACGTCCATTGGAACTGCAGGAGCAGCTGGATGATTGCTGAGTCAGGAGGTTCTTGGTTTGGGGTCATCCGATATGAAAAAGGAAAACGATAATTTTGCTCAGCCATCTGGTTGATGACACTGTAGTTGATCTAAGATGAAAGAAAAGGTATTGGTAGTTTGTACCAGTTTTAATGATAAAAGTCAGATGGTAAATCTAAGGACCTTTCCACAGTGCTGAGAGACACTTCAAATGATAACTGCATGAATTTTGCTAGTTTCCTTGATGTCCTGTCCTGTTGTCTTGTATGCTCCCTTTGAAACCAGGGAGCTCTGAATTATCTGTGGGTGATGTTCATTGGTGGTCATCATAGAGTACACTCTTCTGGTCAAATTATAACTCTGTGGGTCACCCATCCCCTCATTCAATTAGTCAATCAGAATAGAGCTGGAAAGTCTTCTAGTCCAACCACATATGTGTTTGTGTCTCTGTGTTTCTGTGAGCATGTGCTTTGTGCGCATGTGCAGCATTCAAAATACACCAATTTTACAGCTTACCTTCTAGGGCACAGTAAGTAAAACAGCTGAGGCAAAGAAATCCACCATGCCACGCAAATCATCTGAGCTGAGAAACGTGGAATTATAGGACAGGATAGGATGGGGGCAGGTGACATGGACAGGGACAAATGATCGCCAGAACTACTGGTTCACTAGAACTGATCGGAACCGGCAGCAGCCCAGCACTGAATGTATATAAAGATACACACACATACACACACACACATACATATACATGTGTGTGTATCTATGTGTGTGTGTGTATATAGCATACATATACATACATACATATACACATACAAACATATATATGTATACACACAGAGACAATTTTGTGAATTAAAAAATATTTAATCTCTTCTAATATTTACTCTCTGACTTTCAATTTATTTGGAGAAATATATACAACTGCTGCCTTCTAGGCAAATCTGAACATTTTACAACACAGAATTAATTTCATTTGGCTTTATACCTGTGGAAATTTATAGATGCTCAAGACATTGGAAATATGATCAAAGAGTTCAGAATCCATCTCTTCAAGAATCGCCAGCAGGTTCTTTTCTTTTCCACATCTGTAGTTTGGGATGTTCTCCTGTCCTGTAGACAGCACATCCAGCATGGCCTCATATGTCATTCTTGCACTGAAAAAATTCTCATAGATGTTGTAGCCCAGGGTGATGTTGGGTAAGAGCCTTGAATTCTGGTTGACTTCATGAACAGCCAACAAGAAGGGTAGAATGTGGTAGAAGTTGTTCTCACTGCAACATAAGAAATTTCATCATCTTTTTTTGCTCTACATCAACGATTCATGTGATCAACTTAAAAGCAATTGCATTCTTTTTGCCGATGATGTAAAATTACTCAATTCTACAGATCTGTTGTTTTGCAAAGTGTCCAATCTTCAAGAAAATTGGAGATATGAAGGGAATGTTTCATGCAAAGATGGGCATGATAAAGGACCAAAATGGCAGGGACCAAACAGAGGCAGAAGAGATTAAGAAGAGGTGGCAAAATTACACAGAAGAATTATACAAGATCTGTATCTTCCCAGTCCTCAAGAATGCTAATAAGGGATGCTACCAGGTGTAGATGTATAGGTGGTGATCATATGATATGATTTGTTCCTGTTATATCACCCTGGAGAGGACTAACAGTTGGATTCAAGTGCTAGATTAGCAAGTGGTATTACCTATCTGAAGATGGATATCTCTTCACCAAGCCTTCTTTAGACCTAGAGATTTGCTGCAAAATATTCATGGCTTCCATAAGAAAGACTGAGCACCAAAGAATTGAGGCCTTTGAGCTATGGTGCTGGAGAAGACTCCTGCGAGTCCCTTGCAAGGCAATCAAACTGGTCAGTCCTAGAGGAGATCAACCCTGACTGATGTTTAGAAGGCCAAATCCTGAAGATGAAACTCAAATACTTTGGCCACCTAATGGGAAGGAAGGACTCACTGGAGAAGAACCTAATGCTGGGAACAATTGAGGGCAAGAGAAGAAGGGGACGGCAGAGAATGAGGTGGCTGGATGGAGTCACTGAAGCAGTAGGAGTGAGATTAAATGGACTCTGGGGAATGGTAGAGGACAGGAAGGCCTGGAGGAACCTTGTCCATGGGGTCACATTGGGCTGGACACAACTTTGCAACAACAACATTCATGGCTTTAGAAGTGGTCAGCTGACACCGCGGCAGCACAGACGGGGATTTCTGAGTTCCAGAAACCCCCGCCGACAGTCCTGATTCCAGACAGTCCTTCCGGGACCCCGCAGTCTAGTTTTGACTGCAGTAGTGGATTGCACATCCCTGTGATCTCAGGGGTACCACAAATCCCCTGATTGATCCAAGGAAAGCTCTTTTTCTGGTGTTGGGGTAGCAGCCATTAATGGCTGCCAAGGCTGGGGCAGCTTGAAGAGCGAAAGTGACAGTGTATCGGATCAGTGAGAGCTTTCAATTTCTAAATAATACAGAGAACACCCCGAGGGGAAATGGTTTTGAAGATTGCATCTAAAATGAGATAAGCGGTGAATCTAAAGAAGGGGAAAAAACTTTTCTTTTTACCCTATTTGGCTATTTAGCTAAAGGACTTAATTGCTTCATTGCTTCACTTTCACTATTTACTGAGATCGGGACTGAATTGAAAGAGAGAAGTTTAGTAGGACTTGCAATCTTTGTCTGCTTTTTTTTTTTTTTTAAAGAGAAGAACTGATGAATATTGGCTGGAATATTTGAATGGATTTGAAATTTTTCTTTCTTTTCTTTCTTTTAAAACTTGCAAAATCTTTTTTTTTTCCTCTTGGTAATCTTTTTTAGCAGAAAGGCAGGAGAGTGTACTGCCATCTGCTGGAGAAACTTGTTTTTATGTTTATTCAAGTTGACAGCTGAGAACTACAGTGTAGATTAAACAAAGAGGCTGTATGTGAAGTTGATAAGATCTGTGAATAGCTGGAGAATGTGGTTTATCTGCATTGTTTAAACAGGTGCTTTTGCTGGTCCTTATTGAAATAGAAGCCTCGAAATAATATACAAGGTCACTGTGCTCCTTAGAGCTGCTACTTGCTATTTTTTTTCCTGAACTATTGCTTTTAATACTGTGGCTTGACTAAAGTATCACTCTCTGAATGCTTTCTCTTTTTTCCTTTTGATTCTTATATTTTTGAGCTTTCTTTTTTTCTTCGCCCCTTCTCACACTTTTAAAATTTGGATATAATTGTATTGAATCAAGGCAACCAAGTGCCTGAAGAACTTCTGTTTTTTTTTTTTTTGTTTGTTTTTTTTGTAATTGGTACCCTTATTTTTATTTTTTATCTTTTTGGCCTTTTATTTTTTATTTTTATTTTTTATCCTTTCTTGCTTTTGGATCCCTTTTTTTTGCTTTTTCTGTTTTTGTTTTTTTCTCTTTTCCTTTTTAACATTTAAAATTATGGTTTGGAAGAACCAGAAGAGCTTGATTTGACCAATTTTTTGTCTTTTTTCTGTTCTTGTTTTTTCCTCTTTTACTTTTTCTCCCCTCCCTCCCCTCTTTTTTGGATTTTTTTTCTTTTTCCCCCCTCCTTTTTCCCTTTTTTTCCTTCACTTGATTGGATTACAAAATGAGCAGAAAAGTAGCAACAGTGAGATCTGCTGCAACTACACCCGCATCATCACCATCTAGTGGGCAAAGATCTATTCAGCCAATGTTGCAACAAGAAAAAGACAAAGATAAAGAATCGCCAATACAAACAATTTTACAAACAGTACAAAGAATGGAACAACAACTGACTAAAGTGGAACAACAACTATCTAAGACAGACGAAAAAGTCCAAAGGATGGAACAACAGCTACTTAAGACAGATGAAAAAGTGGACAATATCCAGCAAACAATGGTGAATTATGAAGAGAGACTGTCAAAATTAGAGAAGAAGGAAGATCAAAAAGAAGAGAAAATGAAAGAAATCGAGAATAGATTGGAAGATGTGGAGCTAGAAGCAAGTGGACTAATTGGATGGGAAATAGACAAAGCAGAATTTTATTTAAGATTTCAAAATGTGGAAGAAGAAAAAGGAGAAAATCTTGCAGATGTGATGATTAGGTTGCTGGCTGAAGCCTTAGAAACTACTAAAGAGAAGATGTTGGAAGGAGATGACAAGATTTACCGAGTTTACACTAGATACTCAATATGTAATAAACTCCCAAGAGAGGTACATATAAGATTCACTAAGAAATCAAGCACAAATACTCCAGGCAGCAAGAGAAAAATCTTTGAAATACAAAGAAAAAGAAGTGGTGGTTTTGAGACAAACACCAAAGAAAGTTAGAGAGCTGAGAAGAGAGTACCAGTTTTTGACAAAAATTTTAATGCAAAAAGGAATTAACTACAGATGGTTGACCCCAGAAGGACTAACTTTTGCATGGCAACTTCAACGATACAGACTGAACACTTGATAAAGCAAGAGCTTTCTATGATCAATTTCTTAGAGAAAAAGAAATGGAAATGCAATTCGAAATCCAACCTATAGCTCCAATAAAATTTACAGAGGAAGAATTGGCAATGCTTGAGTCGACAGAGGGAGCAGTTGGGGGAGTTATTCAAAAAAAGGAACAACGTGAAGTAAGATCTACTAGAGCAATAAAACCTACATAAAAAGTATGAATATGGAAGAAAGGAAATTAATTTTAATAAATATAAATGGACTTAATTTGGCTATTAAAAGAAAGAAAGTATTCCACAAATTAGAGAAACTAAAAGCTGATATAATTTGCTTACAAGAAGTACATATTAAAAAACAACACGAATACTTATTGACACACCCAAAACTTGGAAAAACTTTTTCATCCCTATCGCAAAGTAAAAAAAGAGGAGTTGTATTATAAATTAAAAATGCAATAGTGGCGGAACAAAAGTATTCAGACTTAGAAGGTAGAATTTTGACGGTTGAAATAATCAATAACAATACGAACATTCTTTTAATAGCAATATATGCTCCAAATGAAAATCAAAGTGACTTTTATAGAAGATTACATAATAAAATAATTGAAATGGAATATGATAATATATGTATGATGGGGGACTTTAATGGAATTGTGGATGAAAATTTGGATTACAAAATGAATAAGGCAATAAAACATACCAGAAAGATATTACCAAGATCCTTCTTTAAGATGATGGAGGAAATAAATTTGAAAGATACATAGAGAGAAAGAAACAGAGAAAATAAACAATATACTTTTTAGTCTGACAGACATTTATCTTGGTCCAGATTAGATATGATATGGACAACAATGGATTTGTTGTTGAATATAGATTATGTGGAAATAGAAACCAATTTATGGGCAGCCATAATCCTGTGATAATAATCTGGAAAGGACGAACAAGAAGATCTAGATGGACTTTAAATAATACAATATTAAAAGAGCAAGATTTTGTGCAGAAAATGGAACGAGATTGGCTTTCTTCTTTAAAGAAAACAAGAAATAAGAGACATCGATACAAAACCGCTGGGATACAATGAAGGCATATGCCAGAGGACTAATCATAGACTACACAAGGAAAAGGAATGCAAAAAAGGGCTAACTTCGAAATTATTAACCGATGATTACAAAAGGTTCGAAAAGGAACTCCAGAAAGATCCACATAAGAAGGATATTAAAATCAAAATGGATACAATAAAGCATAAAATGGATCTACTGGAGAAAGAATTGGCTCAAAAAATAAGAAGTTCCAAACAAAACTACTTTGAAAATGTGAATAAACCAGGCAGATGGTTACCTTATAAATTGAAAAAGGAAAGAGAATCGAGGAAAATAACACACCTAGTCTATGCACAAGGGCAAAGTAAATTTGGAAATAAAGAGATGGGGAAGATAATACAAGAGTTTTACAGACAACTATATAAAAGAGAGACGATAGAGGAGGAAAAAGTGCTAAAGTATCTAGAAGAAGCAAAACTACCTCAGATTTGTAAAGACGTGGAGGAGACGTTGGAAAGAAACATAACGATGAACAATCAAGAAGCAAAAGAATGGGAAGGCGCCAGGGCCAGACGGTCTATCAGTTGAATATTACAGGATGCTACAAGAATATTTGACCCTTCCACTATTGAAGGTGATGAATGAAGTGATGACAAAGAAGGTAATACCTAAATCATGGACTGAGGTATATATTACATTGATTCACAAAGAAGACACAGACCCACAACAAATCAAAAACTATAGGCCTATATCCTTGCTAAACTCGGATTACAAAATTTTTGCATTAATATTGGCGGAAAGACTTAAGAGATATTTGAACAACTTTATACATGTGGATCAAAATGGATTCCTACCAAAAAGACAAATTAGAGATAACATAAGAATAATTTTGGACACTTTAGAGTATTATGAAGCACATACTGAAAAACAGATAGCTTTGGTATTTTTAGACACACAAAAAGCTTTTGATAATGTTAATTGGCAATTTATGATACTCCAAATGGAAAGGATGGGCTTTGGTAGGAAATTTATACAGGCAATTGAAGCTATTTATTTTAAACAGACGGCAAAAGTAATGATAAATGGAGAATTGACTGATCCTATTGAAATAGAAAAAGGCACTAGACAAGGATGCCCGCTGTCCCCATTGTTGTTTATAATGACTTTAGAAGATTTAAATAGACGCATCAGAGAAGAACAAGAGATAAAAGGCATGAAAATCAAAAAAGAAGAATATAAACTTCAAGCCTTTGCAGATGATTTGGTTTTTATCATTGAAGAACCATTAACAACAATAAATAAATTGATATAAACAGTTGGAGAATTTGGGAAAGTAGCTGGCTTGAAAATTAATAAAGATAAAATGAAGATAATGACTAGAAATGTGTTGAAAAAGCAAAAAGAAGAACCGATGGAGGTTTCAAAAATGCAGGTTACAAATAAAGTAAAATATTTGGGGATATATTTAACATTAAGGTGTAGTGCACTTAAAGAAAATAACTATAACAAGCTTAAACAACAGATAGGACAAGACTTGGTGAAATGGGGTAATTTGCAGTTATCTTTGATTGGTAGGATCTCAACTATCAAGATTAATATTTTACCTAGAAATTTGTACCTATTTCAGACAATTCCTATCAAGTTGGGTAAGGAATTTTTTGTAGATTTAAATAAAATGATACTGAAATATATTTGGCAAGGGAAAAAGGCGAGAATAAAATTAAAACTGTTACAAGATGCTGAAGCTAGGGGTGGTTTTGGTTTGCCTAATTTTGAACTGTATTATCAAGCAGCAAGTTTAATGTGGCTTAAAGAATGGATAACTTTGAAAAATACCAGATTATTGAATTTGGAGGGACATGATTTGTTGATGGGGTGGCACGCCTTTTTATGGTACAAAGGCACAAAAATACAAGGGTATTTTAGAAGACATCAGATATGTGAAGCTTTATGGTTGAATTGGGAGAAGGTCAAAAAACATCATTATTTGAAGATTCCAATCTGGGTATCTACAATTGAAGCTTTTTCATATTCAGTAATATTTAAAAGGGAACAAATTATTAGGTATAGTGAATTGTTGGATGAAAAGGGTGAACTTAAATTAAAGCAGGAATTAGAAGATAAGGGATATAAGATGGACTGGTTTTCATATATGCAAATATTTTCTAAATATCGAGATCTCAAACAAGAAGGTTTTTATAATGTCTTGACTAATCTAGACAAGATTTTAATGGGTTCTGATGATCATATAATTAAAAAGTTGTACGGATATTTGTTAGAAGTAAAACTGGAAGAAGAACAAGTTAAAGAATCAATGATAGCATGGGGAAAAAATTTGGTTATGGCATTGATTTAGCGAAATGGCAAAAATTGTGGTCACATAATTATAAAATGACAATGTCTACAGCATATAAGGAGAATTTGTATAAGATGTTTTACAGGTGGCATTTACCCCCGATGAGGATAGCCAGAATGTTCCAGAATAAATCAGAGAAGTGTTGGAAGTGTCATCAGACATCCTACTACCACATGTGGTGGACATGCAGAGATGCAGAGATATTGGACCAAGATACACACGTGGTTGGAAAAAATGACTAAGAGACATATTGATTTTAAACCAGAGATATTTTTATTAGGGATCTTACCAGAGATATACAATAAAGAATTGCAATATTTAATTGTGAACCTTTTAACAGCAGCTAGAATTATATTTGCAAAAAATTGGAAAGGAGAAAGGACACCTACTGATGAAGAAATTATTAAGAAAATGATGGACTGTGCTGAAATGAGTAAATTGACATTTGAAATAAGAGAGCAGGAAGATAAACAATATTATGTGATACGGGATTTATTTTATCAATAGATGGACAATAAAAAATGGAGATAAATATGAAACATGTGGATGCTGAGATAAATTAAGATAAATTTTTTTAAAAAAATTCTTTTTATATGGAAATAACCTTGGGATTTATAGTGATATTTTGAAGAGAGGAGGGAGCACAAAAGGATGCAATCCAATCAATATACTGCCTGTAACTGTTTGGAATGATAATGTTTTTATATTCTATTTTTGTTTTAAAATTAAAAAAAATGATTGGGAAAAAAATCCATGGCTTTAGAGTTATTGTCCTATATTTTACAGTTAACTACAGTTAATGTGATTCCTCTGCGACTATACATTAACTTATCACATAAAGTCTCTCCCCTCCTTGAATTTGGTTTTTAAAAAGTATCCCTTTTATTTAAACCAAAAGGAACAGGGAAGCCACAAAAGTGGCAAAAATGTTAAAGGGTGGAAAGAAAGAGCTGAGAGGGTGATAGGAATTATAGAGTAAATGAAAGGAAGGGGAAGAACAGAAGGGCGAAAATACCAGAGATCTCACTTTGTTCTAAGGTATCATTCAATCACTTTATTGGGAGTTACTGTTTAACTATTGTTAATAAATAAAGAAAATAAATATGAATAAACAAGTTGCTGACTCTCCACAGTCCCAAGGTGGTCATTTTGAAAGCAGGCAGAACCCCATCCAGGCAAGATTCATCATGGCACAGTGTTGGCAGTGCCCAGTGTTGCCCAGTGTTAAGGCTGACAATTGTGGAAGAACTTAAAAAGAAACTTTGCAAACTCAGGTTTTACAAAATCATCAGGTTCCCCAGGAGCCTTTCCTCTAAAGCAAATTGGGATGAGCAATAATGACTTGCCTTTCTCAAGATGAGGAATAGGGGAAAGGAAATCATTCCTAGAAAAGACATTGGAGGTATGTGGTTGGAGAAGATGAACTAGCAACATATCGCTTAAAAACCTGGACTATTCCAGTTGGGGATAATACCAGAAGCTTATAGTAAAGAAAATGTATACTTGATTATTCATATAATAACTGCAGCTAGAATTGTATTTGCACAAAATTCTTCACAAACGTGAAGAGATCCCTACGGAGGAAAATATGAGTAAGAAAATATTAGAATGTGCAGAAATGAATAGATTAACACTTGCAATCAAAGGAAAGGAAGAATCTGATTATTATAATACACGGGAGTTATTCTATCAATGGTTGGAGAATAAATATGAAAGCAATGTATTATAAAGGCAAATAAATAAAGAAGAGAAATGTTATCAGAATAGGTATGTTAAATATTAGTAGTAATATAAGAATAGATACAAATAATGAATATGGTGGTATCCAAGACAATTTTAATTGTCATGACACAAAAATATATACTCAGACAACACACTGTTTACTGAAAGAGGGAATGTTTGTATTAAAAGAAAATTTAAAAAATTATATGTGTGTGTGTGTGTGTGTGTATCTCTATCTCTATCTCTATCTATATCTATATATCTGTCTGTCTGTCTGTCTGTCTGTCTGTCTATCTATCTATCTATCTATCTATCTATCTATCTATCTATCTATCTATCTATCTATCATCTATCTGTCTATCTGTCTGTCTATCTATCTATATTTGTTTTTTCTTTTCGTAGGCCTTTATGTGTATTTCTCTTTAGCCAGGTTCTTCTTATGTAAACCAAGATTTTTATGCAGCCCTAGTTCAGTGAAATCCCAATCCACTAGTTTCTAGGCTTTTTTTCTTCAGGCAGCAGCAAGCACCCTGCTGCCCATTGGGAGACTAACCTTAGTAAAATCAAATTAGGTAAAATCAATCACCAGAACCTTTGGAGGAGCTGACAATTACCTTTCCAGTTGGCGGGTTGGAGGCTTGGAGAATGAAAATTGGTACAATCGAGCTACAATTCCAGACATTATTCCCATAATCCAGTAGTCTCCTGGCTTGTAGTAATGGAACCACTCCTTTTCTTCTATGACCACCTTAAATGGACATTTCATCAGTGTACCTGCACAGGGAATTTGAGACAGAAACTGAAGCAGAAAAAGCTGTATTTGCAGCAGCAGCAACATTTGACATACAGTATACTGCAGGAGATCCTTCCTAGAGTTTTTTCTTCAGCACAGAGCTAAATCTCAGAGATCACAAAAACACCACAACTACAGTGAAGAAGGTCCAGTTTGCCCCCAGATTTGGAAGAGCTATCTGCAATTTGAGACTGCTAGAGTATTTGCCCAGCTTTTCCCCAAACTCTGATCTCATCACAGGAGGCTGTTACAAATCAGATTATCACAAGATGTCTATCCTATTTGTTGTCACATTGATTGGCCACTAATTGTGGTGGTGGAAATCCCATAAACCTTGTTCAAAGGAGAATAAATAATCATGATTTTAATAATTAAAAGGGGAATTGGGAACGAGCCTTGGCCATAAAAGTGTGCCGTTAGAGAAAAGAGTTTTCTTTGACTCAGGAGAATAATCCTAATTTGAGAGTTGAGAAAGGAACAATTCAGGGAAGTTTGATTGTTTTTAGTCTCCAAACTTATTCTTGATATTGTAAGGATTTAAATGTGGAAAAACAGTTCAACACTCTTGAAGTAGGCATTGGGCCATTATAATTCCTTCTTATTTTTTCTTGTGTCCATGAGGTCATCTTCTTCAATGAAGGTTTGATACTCCAGAATGGTTAACTCCAGATGATGACATATTGAACAACCTATTGTTGTTGATGATGAGCCACGGTGATTCAGTGGTTAAGTGCAGTACTGCAGGCTACTTCTGCTGATCACTGGCTGCCAGCAGTTTGGCAGATTGAATCTCACCAGGCTCAAGGTTGACTCAGACTTCCATTCTTTCCAGTTCGGTAAAATGTGGACCCTGATTGTTGAGGGCAAATATGCTGACTCTGTAAACTGCTTAGAGAGGGCTGTAAAGCACTATGAAGCAGTATATAAGTCTATTGCTATTGGAGGCCACTGTTAAATGTTTTGTATCTTTCAAAATATAGAAGAGAGTATCAGTCTTCATGGTTACAAAGAAGATCTCATCCAAATTCCCTGGGGCATTAATATGAAACAATGGCCCATTACTGACTTCTTCACGATAGCAATAGCAATAGCAGACTTATATAACACTTCACAGTGGTTTTACAGCCCTGTCTAAGCAGTTTACAGAGTCAGCCTATTGCCCCCAACAATCTGGGTCCTCGTTTGACCGACCTCGGAAAGACGGAAGGCTGAGTCAACCTTGAACCGGTGAGAATCAAACTGCCAAATTGCGGGTAGCCAGGAGGCAGCAGAATAGCCTGCAATACTGAATTCTGACCACTGTGCTTTCTCCTCCTCCTGATGTGGTGACATTTGCTGTCTCTTACATAAGGTATCTAGTAGGGAACCAAGAGATGATGCTATATGAGTACATTTCCACAATGGCTGAAGGTGAAGGGCTAAATAAAATTTGAGGACCTGAGCCCAGGGTCTTTGCTATATGGCAGTGGTGGTGAACCTTTTACTCATTGAGTGACAAAACATGAAAAAGCATGTTTAATGAATAGAGTAGAGTAGAGTAGAGTAGAGTAGAGTAGAGTAGAGTAGAGTAGAGTAGAGTAGAGTAGAGTAGAGTAGAATAGAATAGAATAGAATAGAATAGAATAGAATAGAATAGAATAGAATAGAATAGAATAGAATAGAATAGTTGGAAGGGACCTTGGAGGTCTTCTAGTCCAACTCTCTGCAGGTAACCGTATACCATTTTATTCTTGTTGAGTTCATTCTTGTTGAGTGCTGGGTTCTGGACACTTTGATTTGGTAAACAATTGGAGAGAGGAAATGTTTCTCATTTTTGCAGATAACCCAAAGTGGCTAGATAGATTCGACACTACAATGACAGAAATCACAGACCATTACCAAGACAACGTCAGATAAAAGTAGTACTGAATTATATGATATAGCTTTCCTAATCTGTAATACACTGAAGGGCTGACTGACAAAAAGACAAAGACAAAGAAAAGACACATGCACAAAAACAAATTTATATATTTATAGGTAAAGGTTTAGGTGGGTATAGGTAAAGATTTCCCCTATCAGTCATGACCAACCTAAGGGGCGGTGCTCATCTTTGATTCACAAAATGAAGAGCCTTTATCTGAAGTTGCTTCCATGGTCATTTGGCTGGCATGACTATGCACTGAAGATGCCCAAAACATTGTTACTTTCCCACTGAAGTGGTACCTATTTATCTACTTGCATTAACATGCTTTTGAATGGTTAGGTTGGCAGGACACACACAGAGACACACAGACACTGTATGTGTATGTACACTGTATATACACTGTACACTGTATGTAGAAATGGATATGGATATGGATAAAAAGAGGAACCAATTTTAATACTCATAAGCACATCTTCATTGTCACAGCATGTCTACATGATTTCTCCCCCAAATCATTCAGAGTTGTACATATTTTTCTTTTGATTGAAGTCTGTCAAAAACAATAATTTGTCTCATTGATTTATTCAAAGGGATGGAGAAAAAAAATTAAAGTTGCTCCAATGTTCATATTGATATTTTATCTGTTCTTAATATGTAAAATATTATCTCTCTCTATTTTTCTCTTTCTTGATCTCTCCCATCCATATCTATCTATCTATCTATCTATCTATCTATCTATCTATCTATCATCTATCTATCTATCTATCTATCTATCTATCTATCTATCTATCTATCTATCTAATTTATCTAAGTATGAATGATTTTACATTATCAAGCCAGAAGAGATCAATCAAATATATACAGTATTTGAAATTAACTATTTTTTAAAACAAAGTCAGAACATCACCCCAGAAAATAAAATATAACACCAGCACACCAACCTATATAGTAACAAAAACAAATGTCATCATTAGCCATAGTCTTTAATTTAATCTAAAACCATATCAGAATATCTCTGGTCACAGTTTATCTGGCCTTTTTTCAGAAATTTTATTTATGTCATAAGCAGATTAGAACAATTGAAGGATATGATTATTTCAGATAGTTTGAGTTGTTTTAGCAACTTTACTACTCAATTATTATAATTCAAAATTCACATGGAATGAAGAAAGATAAGCAACAACACATAAAACATTACTTCAAAGTATGTGATTTTATGCTGCATGTAAACTGTAGAAAAATAAACACCAACACAAGGAGACTTAATTATTTTTTATCATCAGATGTTCTTTGGTGTTCAAGGCAGGTCTGAGAATAATAATGTAGCATTTGGGGATAAAGATGCAGCCCAGTAAACCCAGGCCAGAGGCCAGGATGGAGAAGATTTGCACGGCTACCATGTATTTCCCCTTGGTGCTCAGATATGTGGGAACAAAGGAGATCCAAACACTACAAAAAACCAACATGCTGAAGGTGATCAGTTTGGCTTCATTAAAAGCCCCTGGAAGGTTTCGAGCCAGAAATGCCACCAAGAAACAGATGGCAGCCAAAAAACCCATGTAGCCAAGAGCAGAGTAGAACATGGTGACAGAGCCTTCATTGCACTGCAGCAGGATGTGTTCTGGTTGGGAATGAAAGTCAGAATCTGGGAATGGGGGAAAGACTCCCAGCCACATCATACAGAGGCCTACTTGAATACCAGAGCAGGATAAAACAATAGAGTTGGCCAGACACTTCCCCAGCCATTTCCTCATGCTGCTGCCTGGCTTTGTGGCCAGAAAGGCCACCACCACCATGACAGTCTTGGCCAGCAAGGAAGACACAGCAACTGAGAAAACAATACTGAAAATGGTTTGTCGAAGGAGACAGGTCATTTTCACGGGGCGACCGATGAATAGAAGGGAAGTCAAGAAAGAAAGCAGGAGTGAAACCAGGAGGATGTAGGTGAGTTCACAGTTGTTGGCTTTGACTATGGGAGTGTCTCGGTATTTCATGAAGATTCCCAGAATAAAGGCGGTGGTTAGGGACAAAGCAATGGCAAAGAGAGCCAGGATGAGTCCCAACAATTCTTGATAGGATAAGAAGCTTATATTTTTGGGGACACATTGATCTCGCTTCTTATTGGAATACTGGTCATCTGGACACTTTTCACAATGGGCTGCATCTGTGGAAAAAAATAGTTAGCATGAATCTGTTTCTGTAGCTGTAGGAGCATAAAAACCACATCAGAAATCAATTACTTCATTTTCAAGGAATAATATAATATTGCTCCCAGAGATATCCATACAATACGACATTAGTTAACACTCCTTTTAAAGGCTGAAGATGAATGTGATTATCAGCTCTCAAAATTTGTCCTCTTTCCCAAAACCAAGCAAAAATGTAACAACTCAGTAGAAATCAGCAACCTTTCATTATTTATTTTAATGCTCACATCATCATGTGGATGTGATAGTGTCAATTCTTTGATGTTTGTGGATGCCTTCAAGAAATTTAATGTTTTTCTTACTTATTTATCAAACACTCCTGATTTTTTGTATTGATTGTATCCTGATTTTTTTTTTTTTTTTGGATCCACCTACTGTACCTTCTTGCCCAGAGAATGTTCCTTCCATACACAGAGAACAGTCGTAGCAGCAAACTGGGGCTCCCTCTCTCACAAGCTTGGCATAACCTGGGGAGCAAGTTTCTGTACATCTTGAATAAGGCACCATCTAAACATAAACAGAAAGATTAGTCAGGGTAATATATGAATTAGAAGGATTTACTGAAATCAAGTGGCTTCCAGAAGCTCAGGAGCACATTGAGCAAAATCAGTCCAGAAGTAGTAGCATGAACTTTAATTGCGTCTTATACACTGAATGTAGTTAATAACGTGAGGCACGGAGCAGCAAAGGAAAACACAAGCAGAGGAGAGGAGTTTCAGTTTCAGTTTCAGAGATCAGCACAGCATGCAGCTTTAAAACAATTGACCTACTGTAAGCCATGCAGAGGCTCCTTCCTTGTTGCTCACACAGCAAATACTGTTTCAGTTTCCAAACAGTCCTCAACTCTCTCACATACCAACAGGACACTATCCAGATGAATACGGATGGATGCTGGTAGCCAGAGGCAGATTTTTTTTTCTTATTTCCTCCTCCAAAATTAAGGTGCATCTTATACTCTGAAAAATACGGTATATATTTTTTCTCCTTCTTTGCTTTCTCAGGAAACCTCCAATATCTAGCTTTCTTTAGAGTCCCTATCTTTCTCTCCTACAACTGATCATTGTATCATCATATGTAAATGAGTTTTTTTTAGCAACCCTCATTTCCTTCACCACATTCTTAGTGATATCTTTTTCTTATGCAATTCAGTGGACTAAATCCTTCATATTCTGGATTTTTCTCCCAAAGGTGCTTTTTCAAAAGACAACTGATCTTTGTTTTCCTTTGAAGATGTTTCACTTCTCATTCCAGAAGCTTCTTCAGTTCTGACTGAATGGTGAAGTATGGAAGGATTTATATTCCTTATAGTCATCTGGTCGTTAGCAGTCTTTCTGAAAGTTGTTGATGCAACTTAGAATTTATCTGTGCCCTCAGGGTCATGTGAATAGTGAAAATGGGTGTGTAATCTTCCTGCAATTGCTGAATCTATATCCTGTTTACAACACAGTCTTCTCAGCAATTCCAAGTCTTTCCATCCTCCACCATTCAGTCAGAACTGAAGAAGCTTCTTGGATGAGAAGTGAAACATCTTCAAGGGAAAACAAAGTCCAGGTGCCTTTTGAAAAAGAACCTTTGGCACAATCATGACCCGATGACTGAGAATCTCCATAGACATTCTGGATTTTCTCTTACTGAAAACAAGATAATTTGATGTACTATAAATTATGGCAACATATCCCAGTTTAATAATGTAGATTGCAAATTCCGCAATACAATGCAGCAGGTTACAGTGTATGATAGATTATTGTAAAACCTCTAAAGTAAAATAATATCTAATAAATTAATGAGGCTTTAAGTTCTCTTATTTGGAAGTTATCTCAATTGGCTTCAATAAGAATTATTTCTGAGCAGAAATATATGGAGATAAATAGAAGAGCAAAATCCAAGCAGCCTCAACTACTTTGTTAAATAAAGTTGACCATTGGACGGCACTTTGATTGACAGAAATCTTGACTTCTGAGGAGGCTTGTCTTTCTATAGTTCCAATTTTCACCCCTGCATCTGATTTGTTCAAAGCGGATGTCCACTGCATGATATCAAAGTCACCAACAGGAACTCCATTTTCATCAAAAGAAATCCCATCTCTGGAAATATTGTGATGTTGGAAGTTTCTCAGGAACCTATGAAGCTGCAGAAACATAGAAAAAAAACCATTACAGTTTGAGCCTTTATTCAATTTCTTTTTCTTGCTATTATTCTGGATTGGAGGTACTCTGAATATTTCAACCTCTTCAAATCATCACTGCAATCTGAAACAGATTGATTCAAAATTTCATGGGAAGCTTCTTTCAGTCATACTCAGGAATTTACAGCTCTTTTTCAAATACTGTATTATTCGGACTATAAGATGCATATTTTTGTCTTCCAAAAGGGGATGAAAATGTCTGTGTATCCTATTGACCAAATATTGCTGAAGCCTCGCCCACCCGCTGGTAGTTTTTTGGTCTCTGCACACTCCATTTTCAGCCTTTGTTTGGCCCTTTTCAGGCCTTTTTTGGCCCAATTTTGGAGCTTTTTTCTGGCTGTTTTTGAGGCTTTTCTTTGGCCTGTTTTAGAGGCTTTTTTTGTCTTTAAAAAAGCCTCAAAAATGTGCTGGAAAAAGTCTGGAAATGGCCCAAAAGGGGCCAAAAAAAGGGCCAAGATAGGAGAGCGCAGAGGCCAAAAACATTTTTTTTGTTTTCCTCTTCTAAATTTAGGTTCTGTTCTGTCCCCAACCCCAGGCATACACACCAACAGACATTTAGGAGTTAAAGACCAAACCAGCCGGCAAAATCCTTTTCCTTATGATAACGGAACTTGGCAACAACCTAGTGGCTGCCTGCCAAGAGTTTATTATTTACAAAGAGGAGAGATAACTTCTCCCCACTTCTGATACATCAAAGGAGAGCAGCTCAATAATTACGGAATTAATCAAGTCCAGAGATAGTCCAGCAAAGTCTTAAAGCAAAAGTCCGGCAATGCAGAATGACGTGGAAGCTTTCAGCTTTGTTCGTCACAAGGTTTGACAGGCCACCACGTTCCCTTTTATATCCTGTGGTGTGTGGTCCAGTGACTCAGCCTAATCTCAGGCATACCCTTTCTTCTGTTGCGTGCACTTATCTCTGCAACGCTGGCGTGGGTCCAGCCAAGACTCTTTACCCTCATCCCTGTCCATCTGTGGCTGCTTGGATGTGCTTGGCCCTGGCCCTATCTCTTGCCCTTCGGCGGACACCGAAGGCATTGCCAGAGAGGAGGTTCCTGGAGAGGGAGGCCTTGCCAACTCCTCCCCTTCACTCTCGGAGTCCTCTCCTGACAGTGACACAGGCTCCAGTAACGGAGCCACAACAGGTTCGTCTTATAGTCAGGTGTATTTTATATTCCCAAAAATATGGTATTTATCTCGCATTCTTGAAAACATGCTATAGATAACACCACCATCAGGTGGCTTTGTAACTGGCTGACAAATTATATTCAACATGTAGTCCTCTGGGGAACCTCATCCACATGGAGGAACATAAGCAATGGGGTACCCCAAGCTTCCATTTTAGGCCCAGCACTATTCAACATCTTCAAAAAAGATCTAGACAAGGGAATTGAAGAGGAACTTATCAAATTTGAAGACGACACTAAGCTGGCAGCAATAGCCAACACCCCCAGAAGACAAGCTCAAGATCCAAAAAGATCTTGACAAATTGAACATGGGCCCCTACCTAACAAAGTGAAATTCAACATAGATAAAAGTAAGGTTTTACATTTAGGCAAGGAAAACCAAAGTATAGGTACAGACTATGTGAATCTTGGCTTAATGCCAGTAACTGTGAGAAGGATCTTGGAGTCCTAGTGGACAATCACTTAAATATGAGCCAACAATGTGTGGCAGCAGATAAAAATGCCAATGCAATCCTAGGCTGCGTTAATAAAGGGATAGAATCAAGATCACATGAAGTTCTAATATGGCTTTACAAAACCTTAGTAAGACCACATTTAGAATACTACATCCAGTTCTGATCAACACAATATACAAAAGATATTGAAACTCTGGAAAGACTGTAGAGATGAGCAACAAAAATGATTAGGGGGCTGGAGGCTAAAACTTAAAAAGGACAGTTACTGTAATTTGGTATGTCTAGTCCAATGATGTGTTTCCCCCGGTTTGCACCATTTCTATAGAACCGGTAGTAAAACTGGCAGGAGGCCCTGCCCACCGACCCCGACATCATCAAAACGCTTCTGTGCATGCTTAGAAGCTTCTGTGCATGTGTAGAAGAGCATGCCCATAAGCGAATAAAGCACATCCACGCGGCCCCACTGCGAACCAGTAGTAAAGGTAAATAGAACCCACCCCTTGTCTAGTCTAAGGAAATGAAAGATTGGGGAGAAATGATACCACTTTTCTAACATTTGAGGGGCTCCTACAAAGATGGGGGGGCGTCAAAACATTTCCCAAAGCACCAGTATGCAAGGCAAGAAACAATGGTTGAAAACTAACGAATAAGAGAAGCAACCTAGAACTAAAGAGAAATTTCCTAACACGAGAGCAATCAACCAATGGAATAGCTTGCCTTCAGAAGTTGTGAGTGCTCCATCATTGGAGGCTTTCAAAAAGAGACGTGGGCAACCATTTGTCTGAAATCGTATAGGATCTCCTGCTTGATTAATGGGTTGGACTAGAAAAACCGCTGACGTCCTTTCAAATGCTTATTATATTGTTTTATGTTCTATATTTTCTTGCTTCACTATCACAGCCCATCTGAGGCAAAATCAATTGTAGATATGGAAAAACTTCTAATGGGAGAAGACGGAGAATCCAATTTTGCCATCAGTCCTGATCAAGATGAAGTTAGCAGAGTTTATGTTGCTATGTTAGAAACTTTTAGCCAGAAAAATTCAATCTTAATCCAGAACAAACAATCCAGCTGAACTCCTTAGCTTGGAGATCA